ACCGCCTACTGGCGGTTGGCCCGCAGTCTGAAAGCAGAGCCCCGCGAATCCCTACCGCCGTTAGCAATGCCTAATAGCACTTCATTAGCCCTAGATGACTCCGAAAATGCCGAATGCCTTGCGGACAACCTAGAGCAGCAATGTACGCCATCGCGCGAACACATCGACACAGCCCACTTAACGGAGGTGGACCGCGTTATCGAAACTAGGGCTGCGCTTCCACCGGAAGGCGATCCGTTAAACTCAGTGACCCCCGAAGAGGTCCAAGATATTATCAAAAATTTAAAACCCAAATCCGCCCCGGGCCCAGACAATATTAGTAATAAAATCCTTAAAGCTCTCCCTGGCCCACTTATCTGTTTACTGGCGACCATTTACAACACTTTACTCTCCAGTTGTTCCTTTCCGGACGACTGGAAAGAAGCCACGGTTATCGGCATTCGCAAGCCGAATAAACCAGCCAATCAGCCCTCTAGTTATCGTCCCATCAGCCTCCTTAGTTGCCTGGGGAAGCTTTACGAGCGGCTTCTATTAAACAGGCTCAAAGACCACGTGTTTTCCAACGGCCTTCTACCGGCGGAACAATTCGGCTTTCGAGCAAGACATTCCTGTCCCGATCAATTATACCGCCTAACGGAACATATCCTAAAAGGCTTAAATCACCCTAAACATATTAGCACGGGGGCTCTTTTCTTCGATGTCGCAAAGGCATTCGACAAAGTCTGGCACAACGGCTTGCTTTACAAGCTGTTCTCACTCAAAGTGCCAGACAGGCTTGTACACACCATTCAGGCCTTCTTGTCGAACCGTTCCTTTCGATATCGAGTTGAAGGCGCCCTATCCACTAGCCGCCGCCTCACGGCTGGCGTTCCACAAGGCTCCTGCCTCTCACCCTTACTTTTTACGCTCTACACGAGCGATATACCAAAAGACCCCCACGTCAATCTCGCGCTTTTCGCGGATGACACGGCGCTCTTTTATTCAGAACGCAACCTTAGTCAACTAACCACTCGACTCCAAAGCGCCGCCAACCGCCTCGGCGATTGGTTCCGCAAATGGAGAATTGAAGTAAATCCCGAAAAGAGTGTGGCGATTCACTTCACACGAAGTACTTACCCGTCACATCTTTATAAAGGTCGTCGCCAATGCAGAAAGCTAGGGCAAATATCTCTTTATGGCCAACCGCTCCCCTGGGAGAAAAAAGGTAAAATATTTAGGAGTCACTTTCGACTCGCGTATGTCATTCACAGCGCATATTAATAACGTCCGTAACAGAGCCGCGTTCGTCTCCGGCCGGCTAAGCACTTTAACTAACCAGTCAAGTAAAATGTCCTTAAGACACAAATTACTTTTATACAAAGCTTGCGTACGGCCAATCATGTCCTACGCATGCATGATTTTCGCCCACACGCACCCTACTCGCTTGCACAAGTTGCAAGTAGTGCAAAATAAGTTCATCCGCCGCGCAACCGGTGCGCAGTGGTATCAACGCAACGTCGACCTGCACAGTGATTGCAGACTCCCGATGATTCGCGAATTTTTCAAAGACCTGACCAAACGGTTCTTCGATAGAGCCGAACATCATCCCAACCCTCTGGTGGTAAGCGCAGCAAATTACCAACCCGATCTAAACGCGAGCGTCAACAAGCGTCGCCCGCGAAACGTCCTCATCGACCTGGTCGAGGAAGGGGACTTAGGTACGTCGGACCCACCGTCGGGGGTCCCGCCGGATAACACTACACACACAGTTAGTGTAGCAACAAACACATTAGTTCGCCCTCGCCTCCGAGCACGGCGAGACCAACACAACGCGTACACAAGGTACACCCGCGTTCCAGGGCGGTTCTCACCGCCCCCAGCCACCGATTAGCTAAAAACACAGTCGACGGCCATCTGGGTCTCGGTCCGCACCGCTACTTCGATGGCCCTTAGATGACATGCCGTAGTTAAACGCACGCATGAGCACATGCGCGGCCCTACCCACAGCGGAGGGCCCAAACCCGTGGGTTCTGGCTAGCCCACCGGTTCTGCGTCAGATGAAGCTTTAATAGTCTCTGGACTGAAAGCACAAACATCAGTTAATACAAGATACAAGACATTATTAGCGATTAATTGATCACGAAGTTGAAACCTCAACACTATTGTATGTTTCGCAATATCTTATATGATGACGATATAACAACAATACAGTATTATATATAAGTTGTTTATTGTATCGTAATGTTGCAAGATTGTTATTGTTATATAAAACTTTATACGCATCGTTCGAGATTCTCATCAACATAACCCGTTGCCATGGAAACCAAAAAAGAAACTCTGGAACAGTCTCGCTCGAGTCCCTGGACCTTTGTCCTCTTGACCGATTTAATTGTCAAGCCAATTGCAACTCTGTCGCTCTACTCTTTGGGTCCGGAGTTGGGCGCGTCCCACTTGGTCGGCGACCCTCCGTGAGAGCGATGGGGGGGTATTAATAAAACTGGCCTGGAGCGTCTCTTGGCCCCGCTCCAAACGTTCTGGAAAATTCCGGACGCTTTTCGATTGTTTCTCCATCGACGACGCACGACAGCTGAGCGGCTGTACAAGGACACTTGATATACAAGCAATTAATACTAAATCCGATTCGATCTCCCTCTTCGCCCGGTAGTGATAGACAAGGACAGCACTCATTGAACAGGCTGAGATTAAAATTGGTAGAAAAAGTACGAAAAGATTGTCGCCGCTGTGGGAATCGAACCCACGTCTTCGGCATTGGGGGCCTGACGCTTTAGCTACTAAGCCAAATGGCTGATTGACATACCGACGAAAATCTTAACGTCTTTCCATCTACATTGTTCATTAGCATTTGCAGCAATGCTTAGCGCGTCCATCGTTATATCCTTTCCAGCATACAAACAATTTCGAATCTAGAATTCGAGGCTGAGATTGTCTTTTTTAAGCGATTATCGCCGCCCATGGACATTTGCAACACCCGCAGGGTTGCTTATGCGATGCCGGCCATTGAAAAGTGGGCTTCGGTTACCTCACTCGTCAGACTAAACGCGAAAGTGTAATAATTCCACTTCACGCTCGTCTTCTATGAGGCCCTGGTACTTCGCCGGACGAGTACTTTACTGCCCCTTCGTCCAACAGCATAAGCTGCTACGTGGCTTTTCAAGATAGCGCGCTTACCATCAACGGCTGCATCGCCACTTACCATCAGGTGTCGGATGGCAGTCAAGTGCTAACCAGTTTTGAATTTAAAAAAAATATCATTTGGATGACTCCGTGATGGAGTTGTCGAGGTATTAGCTTCGGCTCCGGGAGTCGTGGGTTCGTGGGTTCGATTCCCAGTAAGTTGTGTGACCCAAAAATAATTGTTTTTTGTATGATCCGGGTGTTTTGATGATTTGTAAAACGCTCTCACAACACAAGATAGTGGTTGTTAATGTTGTAAGGGCAATGTTTTAAAAAAAATTAAAACAAAACTAATAGACGTGTCTGGGATAGAAACCTAAAACCCCAACTGCAATAGGACGCGACTTAGCTAGTATAATAGCTGACCCATACTTTTTCAATCGTCTTCAAAACAGGAATATGTTTTTAAATTCAATATTTTTAACCCACGACGTAAAAAGAGGGGTTTAAAGTTTGACGTGTTTGTCTGTGTATCTGTTTGTTTGTCTGTCGCATCGTACATTCTAAACGGATGGACCGATTATGGTGTGGTTTCTAAGCTATAACTTATTTTTGGGTTAGGTTAGCCCCCTTAAAATTTATAATTATATATTATTGTTTGTTACCTGATAACTAAGTTATGTATGACCTGATTTTTTAAATTATTTTTGCATTGAGTTCGATTTCGTTTCAAGGAGATATAAATCCAGGAAGACAATGATGTGGATTTATATCCAGTATTATTCATACATATCCATATTCCATGAGGAATTTCTTAAAAAAACACTTAAAAAATCTGTAGTGAGTGATTTTCTTCAAGTCAGTTTTGTTTATGTCAATTAGAATGTACCTAGTACTTATTTCGCTTTGCCATAGTAGACGTTTACGGCGACACTCAGAGACTTCAACTATCACTTAACTAACACCATGCATATGAAATGGATGGATGGAAATCACCCCGCTGTATATGTTACACGCCGTGTCGTAGGTTCGATATGCATTAAACGTAGTTCTGAGGCTGGGTGTGGTGCGAAAAAACATAGCCTTATTTAATTTTTAAGTATCGTAACGTGCCTATTTCTGTCATATAATATCTAGCGTGTATTTTGTTTTTAAATGAATAACGGTTTGAAAAAAACCACTTTACATGAAATAAGTCAAGAAATCGAAACTTAGAGTTTTAGTTATCTCGTTAAATCATACATTGAAAGAGTTTCATAGAACTAAGAAACTTTCAGACAGACAGACAAGGTTTTAAAAATGTCTATTTATGATTTAAAAAATCAATTTCACTAAATTTATGATATTTATCTCGAAATCACAGACAGACATTTCAAATTCGTTATTTGTATAGATAAAAACGCTCTTTAATGAAACTAGTAATAAATTCCCTCGTTTATCTTAATACCGTACGCATTTTTATCTTTATTTACTGCCTTTATACGTTTCTGATATACAATATTTGTAATTTTCCACTTTCGGCCCTACTGGAACAAGTTTCGTTTCGAAATTCGCAACGCCCTTGTGCTAAGTTTCCTTTGCATCGTTTTTAGGGTTTGGGTACGGACCCAAAGGTAAAACTGGACCCTATATTTTCGTTACTTTCAAGAAATGTAGCTTCTTACGTGCGTATTTACGTCGGACGAAACCCTAGATTGAATATACTTCAGATCGGTGACATCACAAAAAGTTTCATCAAAATTGGTTCAGCCGTTTAGGACGAGTATATAGTGTGTATGGATAAGGATATGTATAAGGATTTCGACCGTGAGTGCGGTTTGTTTAAAAACAAAGCCGACGCCTATGCTACTGTCCAAATAACCGCAGTGCGTTTCCATTGTTCGCAGTCAAGTTGCCGGACGACGAGAGCCCGGCGGTGGGCGCGGGCCGCTTCACCATCGGCCCGGCGCCCGAACGCGACTGGGAGATGGTCCCGCCCGACGGCAAGTGGGGCTGGTTCGTTCTCGTAGGTAAACCACGCCGATTCTGTACCCGCTAGCCGCGAGACTGTGAAGCACGCGATTCCCAACGGTGGGGGGGGGGGGGGGGGGGGGGGATGTGTGTGTGTGCGTCATCGGAAGTACCGCGAGGACGGTTTATCCCCTCTCCCACCTTCCGTCTATGGGACATGTGTGTGTGAATGTATGTATGCATCTCCCTTTCTTAGTGGTGTGGCAACGCGTCTTTATCTGCCGCGTCTTCGGAATTATCGCGAGGACGACTTATCCCCTCTCCCGCTCTCTCTCTGGGGGACATGTGTGGGTGTGTATATGTATGCATCACCCTTTTTTTGTGGTGGTACAACGCATTGTCATATGTTCCATCTTCGGAAGTACCACGATGGAGACTTATCGCTCCTCCCGACTTTTCTTTCGGGGACACGTGTGGTTGTGGTAAAGTGGCGTCTTCTGTTGTTATATTGATGAGTCGGCACGTATTCAGAAGTAGCGAGAGGACGAGGAGACATCTCGATTGAAATTAATTATTTATTCATGAATATTTATTTTGTCCCCTTCAAAGTAATCCTCTCCAGACGTACACTTGTTTCAACGTTTTTTTCCAATCCTCGAAGCAATCCAAAAACACATTTTTTGCGACCTCGTTCAGTTCCTCCTTCGATGCCGTCTTTATCTCCTCCATCGTAGCGTAGCGTCGTCCTTTCGGGGTCAGATCTGGGGAATATGGTGGCTATGGCATTATTAGTGTGTTGTCTTTAGCCAAAAATTCGCGCACAAGCAACAATGTGTGAGCAGGGGCGTTATCATGGTGCAAAAGCCAATTTGTGTTCTTCCACGATTCCTGGCGGATTGCTTCGCGTAAATTGCGTATTACTTGCAGATAATATTCCTTATTGAGCGTTCTACCCGGTGGCAAGAACTCATGATGCACCACGCCCCTGCAATCAAAGAAAACTGTAAGCAAAACCTTCACATTCGACCTAACTTGGCGCGCTTTTTTCGGTCTCGGCTCGTGGGATGATTCCATTGGGCTGATTGGGCTCTAATTTTCCATAACCATAAACCCATGATTCGTCACGAGTTATGACCCTCTGGAGCAAATTTGGGTCACTGCGGACAAAGTCCAACAGCTCGTTAGCAATGTTAATGCGGTTCTGTTTTTGAACAAAATTGAGCAATTTTGGTACGAATTTTGCGGCGACCATGTCTCATGCCTAAATAGGTAAAAATCGAATGACAGAAGCCAATCGATATGTTTAGGTCCTCGGCAACTTCTCTCACGGTGATTCGACGATTGGCCAATACTATTTTCTTCACTTCATCAATTTTTCCGTCTGTTGTTGAAGTGCTAGGGCGTTCGACACGCTCTTCGTCGTTCACATCTTCTCGACCCCCTGAGAACATTTTGTACCACCGATAAACGTTGCTTCTGTCCGAGGTAGCTTCGCCATATGCCACAGTCAACATTCGGAATGTGTCCGCGCACTTAATTTTGTTTTTCACACAAAATTTAATACAGATTCTTTGATACATTTTTTGGAATAGGCAAAAATCGGAGACGAGCCTAAACACATGCAAACAAAGCAGCTGTAAAAAATTTACTGAACCTTCAACATGGCCGAATTTTTCGCTATGAGTTGGAGACATTAGTATCAACATAATGCCACAAAAAAAATCAGAAATGAAAGTAACCCGTGGAAATTCAAAATTCGCGATACTTTTTGAACAGACCTCGTATGTTGGTAATCCCCGTGACATTTTTTTCTTTGAGTATTTTCGATAAAACGCGTGCACCAGATTCTGTTTTCCTTTGCTGAATGAATGAAAAAAGCTTGCGAATTGCTGCAGCTCCGGTTAGAGACTAACCGTTAGACCAATCTGAGACTTCAAATATCGGAACATCCTAACGTAATAATGTAATAACCTAATCGATAAAAACCTTTTACTTGTGTATTTTCGTAACCTTTTTGCGCTAAAATTGAGTAAAATATGTTTACAGTAAAATATTTTCCTGTTAGCGAAACAGTACGTTACCGGTTTGGCCTACTTGTGAGAGTACATCTATACGAATGTTATAAGAGGTTAAAACAAGATTTCTTTACGTTATTAAGGCTGAATAATGTGCAAAAGAAGTCGTTTCTTGGTAGATGCATCAACTTTAAAAATAAAATAGGTGACATCCACAAACAGCTAAGTATAAACAATTTGTAAAAGCTACCCTAATGGCAAGGGCCTACTATAATATCCAAGAATATAAAACCTAGGGGTGATATAATACCCAGGTTGCTGTTGAATTTATACCTAAATAAGTTTGTATAATTGCATCACAAAATAAAAAAAGAACAAGACCGCAGAGTTTCTTGCCGGTTCTTCCCTGTTCAGGTCTAGTTTACTGAACCGGTGGTAGTTTTTTTTTTGTTGACGTTCAAAAAGAGCTTAATTTAAGCCTGTAATGAATAAAGATGAGCCCAATTTTCAAAAGGTTGCCAACGCATCTGCAACCCTCGGGTGTAGCAAATGTCCACGGGCGGCGGTTTTCACTTAAAATCAGGTGGACCGTCTGCTCGTTTGGCAACTTTTAACATTAAAAAACATTTAAAAAAAAAAGATACTTTGAATTTGACTTTGAAGTGTCGTAGTTGCCAACGAAATAAGATGTCGAACGAATCTCTCTCACTCTCCGGTGTTAGCGTAGTGTTGTGTGTATGAAATTAATATGGGACTACATGGAATCTAAAGTAAAAGTAAAGTAATACCCATATACATCCCACTGCGGGGCAAGGGCCACCTATAGAGGGTATTAGGGCATAGTCTTAAAAAAGCCAAATGTATAAAATTTCAACTCGAAATGTGAAACATATAAAAATTGATGTACTATTACATGGGGAAGTACTTAACTTGACTCGATTGTATTCGTGGGCATAATTACAGATGCCAATCTGCAGTGAGGTCCCCATATTAATAAGCTGGCGAGTAGACTTAGCTCAGCAGCCTTCTCGGTTTTATTGAAAACTAGCGACCCTCCCCGGCTTCACACGGGTGCAATGTATTATATAATTATATAAACCTTCCTCTTGAATCACTCCATCTAGTAAAAAAAACACATCAAGATCCGTTGTGTAGTTTTAAAGATCTAAGCATACATAAGGACAGACAGACAACGGGACGACTTTGTTTTATACTATGTAGTGATGCACAGCAAAGAGACGTTTACATTTCAAGTGACATTTTACCACTTTTACCGTTTTGGGAACCCCTCGACTAACACTTAAACCTTGTGGTATGGTATTAAAGTTTAAATTGAGTTTTAAGTATTATTACGAATCTTTTGTAGGGGGATATCGAAAAATGTTGTTTTTAGATTTTTTCAGGCAATTTTTAAAATTTTTTCTTTCATAAGATAATAACAAACACAACAAAAAAAAGTGAAATTGGTTCAGCCGTTCACTTGTGATGGCGTGATCAAGGGAAATAGAGATTAATTTTTATATATTATATATATATATATATATATATATATATATATATATATATATATATATATATATATATATATATATATATAGATAAATATTAAAATGAATTTGGCTTATGAAAAAAAATTGACTGAATTAAGGCTACTATAATATTAGTGATTATTTAAACGATAACACACCCTGGAAATTAATTGATCGTTCCAAGCTCTTTCAAGTGGACAGCAATACATTTTGTAAACATGTTTTTTTTGTCAAATAATGGTAAAAAAAAATGTCCCGCTGAAATTCTTGCGCCGGTTTTTCTCAGGTCAGTGGCATTTCTTTTCCGAAACGGTGGTAGCGTTTTAACAATCATTAAGTTAGTGTAATGCTTATTGAATAAAGATATTTGAATTTGAGTCCACCACGCATTCCCCCTCTGCGGATTGGCGGACTTCACGTATCTTCGAAATATTTTTTTTTATGTGAAAGTTGCCAAACGAGCACACGGTTCATCTGATGTTAAGTGAATATCGCCGCCCATGGACATATGCACCAGAGGGTTGTAGATGCAACCTTATGGAAATTGGGCTCCGGCTACCTCACTCACCAGATGAAACGCGAAAGTATTATACTTCCACTTTACGCCCGTCTTCTGTGAGGTCGTGGTACTTATTCTGTTTTTATTCTATTTTTTAGTATTTGTTATTATAGCAGCAACAGAACTACATCATCTGTGAAAATTTCAACAGTCTAATTATCACGGGTTATGAGATACAGCCTGGTGACAGACAGACCGACAATGGAGTCTTAGTGATAGGGTACCGTTTTACCCTCTGGATGCGGAAGCCAATTGAACGCCTCCTAAATGTTTCTCGTCCTAATAAAAACATGTAATACAATTGGTTTGGTCTTTGGCAACGCCTAGCGACGGCTAACTACTACCCATAAATAGGCATAGAACTAACGGCACACACCCACGCGATTCGGCTCTTTTCGTCCGTGAATTCATTGACTTCTAATCGACGCGGACGCTTGGCAAACGTTTGCCAAACGTTCGTGTTTGAAGGACCAAAGTTGGAATCAAACGTAGACAAATGCCTTTAAATCTTTGCAAACAATCTATGTAACTGAGCAACTGTTTGACATCGACAGAATCAGCGTGTACAATGATTGTTTTTAGGGTTCCGTAACTAATGGGTAAAACGGGACCCTGTTACTAAGACTGCTGTCTGTCCGTCCGTCCGTAAGTGGAAGTCATACAAGAAACATGATTTTTTTTGCCTTCGTGCGTGAGTCCGACTCGCACTTGGCCGGTTTTTTATTTACATGTCGTACGTAAATTTTAGCTTTCTCCTTTTTCCTGTCCGTAAAATTGTAGTTTATATAAAGTCGAACCTCTCGGTCTCCTATGTATGCAATATTCTTAAAAATGGAAGTATTTACAATGAAAGTATTAAGATTGTCATTTTAAATAGCGTTCTTTTTAATTAATTTATTGAAAGGTGTTGCATGTGGTGTCGCAAATGTCCATAGGCGGCGGTTATCACTTAACATAAGGTGAACCGCTAGCTCACTTGAAACTTTCTCACATACAAGCATGAGTTTATGAACTACTTTCCGGTCCCCACCTACATCTCGATTGATATACATATAACACCCCGTCACTGAGTACTTGAGCGGTAGAGTAAAAGTCAAGTAACAGTCTATATATGCCCCACTGCTGGGCAAAGTCCTCCTCGGTACAGAGGGTATTGGGGCATAGTCTAACACGCGAACGCACCGGACTTGGCGTACTTAACATCCTCGCATCATTTTTTCCTATCATTTTTCAAACATGCCGGTTTCCTCACGTTTTGTTTTCCCTCAGCATGTGATGAGACAGCACCTAAAATTCTAATCAACTAGGCAATAGGGTTTGAACTAAGTTTGCTCGACTATATTAAAGCGAGCGCCCGTACACAGAGCTATCACGGCTGATTTAGCGTAAGCTTAGATTTAGCAGAGGACTGTTAGAAAGATTTGACCCGATTGTTATGCCGACCGTACCCGAACAGCGTAATCAATCACAGAATCAGAAGCCTCATCTCGCGTACTTCGCTGAATCGCTAATGCTGAATCTAATAAATCGTAATTGGCTTTTCAATAGTGGACTCTATTGCAAAACACTCGCGACTAGAGTCGAACGGCGGTTGTAAATGGAATGTTCCCGAAAGATTGACTGGATCATTTCTTTCGTTGGCTGATGTAGTCGCGAAAGCAAATGACATAAGAGGAATTTCCAGATAATGGTTCCTAGGATTGATATCACTGGCAAATTCCGCTTTTGAATAAAAATAAATAATAGAATGATTATTTATTTTTCCCGACTGCCCTTAGATATGAGGCAATATTGACGTCAACATAGTTTAAGAGGATAATCATCCTTACTAATATTATAAAGGTGAAAGTTTGTATGTATGGAATTATGGATGGATGTTTTTTACTCTTTCACGCAAATACTACTGAATCGATTTTAATGAAACTTTACAATAATATATCTCATACATCGGCTATGATTTATATACATTTTTTATCTATATCTGTCTTTCTGTCTGAATGTTACGCCTTCAGCCTATTCTACGCAGACGTAGTCGCGGGTAGCAGCTAGTATTAAATAACTAGCAGTTGCCCGTGACTGCACGCGTAGTTTTCATTCAAAAAACCGATGCTCCCATACAAACTTTCATCGGCGATTTCCCCTCAAATTTTCTTTAAAATCATCTTTAAAATTTTAAAATCCAATCATCCCAGAATCATGACATTATTTACTTAGTTGACTGAATCCAATTCCAGTTTTGAAGTCAACAAAATCGAAATACAAATGCCTGACAAAATATTACTACAATTTTAGTAAATATTTTAAAACCTAATTGAGACATTGTATAACTTACTAGTTTTTATTATTTGCTCCAAGGACATTCTTTTGTTTTTTTTAAATACAACAGACAATGTTTGTGGTTAAAATATTCTCAACATTAAAGACTTGAGGGTCAACAAAATGTGATGTCTTGCTGAGCGTTTTACTATCCAACAATTAAGGTTACTTTCGAGTAAATAATTATTAAACGGTTTTATTTAGCTCGAACCGTACGGAATTTGTTTATTTATTTGGGTCAAAATTAGATATTGAAATTTAAGCACCTTCCCGTTGTCAGATTCATCTGAAATTTGGTACACACATTTAATTTACATGACAATACAATATTGTAGTTTTCAGTGCACATAAAATAAAACCGTTTAACTTAAAAGTTTTATTTTATATTTTGATATTCGACACGTTTCTAGTTTTAACTCGGCGGCGTCGTTGCTAATCTATCGGCGTTGGGGGTCGTGGGTTCGATTCCCATACGGGACAAGTATTTGTGTGACCCCACAGGTAATTGTTTCGTATCGGGGTGTTTGTTACTCAAGGGTGGTTGACGTCAGGCAGGTCGTAAAAAAACAAAAGTTCGTAAAAAACATGATTCACAGATTCCCACATAACGTGGGAACCTTGCTGTGAGAGTTAGTACCATTTTCGTGGGTTAGGCTGATACATACCTGAGGTTCATATTAACTTTAAGGCAGTGAACGCTAATAAAACATGGAACCCGTTCATACAAGTCATCACTACATAGTATAAAACAAAGTCGTCCTGCTGTATGTATGCTTAGATCTTTAAAACTACACAACGGATCTTGATGCGGTTTTTTTTATAGATAGAGTGATCCAAGAGGAAGGTTTATATGTATAATACAATACGTACCCGTGCGAAGCCGAGGCGGGTCACTAGTTGTTAATAAATAGCATCACAAATCTCACAGACAGTTATGACGCCCGGTGAGACAATAATTACTTTAAAAAACTTTTAAGTTAAACGGTTTTATTTTATGTTTTTTTTTTGTTAATTTTTTTTTTGTTAATATTGTATTGTCATCTAAATTAAATGTGTGTACCAAATTTCAGATCAATCTGACAACGGGAAGGTGCTTAAATTTCAATTTCTAATTTTGACCCAAATAAATAAACAAACAAATTCCGTACGGGTCGAGCTAAATAAAACCGTTTAAAAATGAACTTGTTCTAACTCCCTAAAACCGCCACGCGGTACAGTATTTCGTTATGTCATTTTCGAGCGACAATAATGTTTCCATGTTTATTTGCGGATTGAAATTAAAAATAAATAAGTTTTTATTTACTTTTACTTGAATAAATATTCCGAAGTCTGTACCAGATCACGACTGTCCACTTCCAGGCGCGACCCTCGTGAACATCCTGATCCCGGGCACGATAAAGTCCTTCGGGGTGCTGCTGGTGGAGTTCAACGACGTGTTCCAGACGAGCGCCTCGGCGTCCTCGGGCATCGTGGCGCTGTGCTACTTCCTCTACAGCAGCCTGGGTGAGTCGACCTTGAGACGACCTTGAGACGACCTTGAGACGACCTAGGACGACCCGACGAAAGTCTGAGTTTCGCAAATGACACGTATGCAATCTTAAGGCGGCCAATCCGTTAATTCGGAATCTTAGTAATAGGGTTCCGTTTTACCCATTGGGTACGGAACCCTAAAAAGCGACATGATGAAGTTGGTTGCAAACTTATAAATTTTTTGTTCATTTTTCTTTTGTTACGCTAAAGAAGTACAACTTCTCGAGGGCGAACGATTCCTCGTTAGATTACCAGTTAATTCTTGTCTCAATAACCAATGGTGAGGAAATGTTCTCCAGTGGCAAATTGACAACCCCCTACTAGATAGATAGAGGACCTTTGGAAATTTGTAGACAGTTAGCAGGTGGCTCAGGAGTCAGGATCATGCTTCGTGTTGGTCTGTGCGGAAGACCTACGATGGACAAAGGATATTAGACAGGCTGAAATGATGATGACGATGATTTATCCATTCGTGTCTTTAATTGCGTTTATACGCTTCAAGGCCCTCGACCTTCGATAGCAGAATACGAATTAAAAGTTTTTTTTTCATAGAACGATAATTCCTTTTTAGAACCTTGATAGATATTTAAATAGTTGCTGTAGTTCGTAAATACGTGTTGGCATTTCCTTATTACACCTCACGGGCGCGGGTGAAAGTTTTATGGCACGATTCCTACATAAAGATTTTCTGCGTACATTCATTAATACATAGTATAAAACAAAGTCGTTCCGCTGTCTGTCTGTCCCTATGTATGCTTAGATCTTTAAAACTACGCAACGGATGATGTTGTGGTTTATTATTAGATAGAGTGATTCAACAGGAAGTTTTATATGTATAACTAGCTGCTCCACGCGACTACGTCTGCGTAGAATAGGCTGAAGGCGTAACATTCAGATAGAAAGACAGAAATACATAAATCATGTATATAAATTATAGCCTATGTCTTATTCTGATGTATAAGCTATATAATTGTAAAGTTTCATTAAAATCCATTCAGTAGTATTTGCGTGAAAGAGTAACAAACATCCATCCATACATACAAACTTTCGCCTTTATAATATTAGTAAGGATACATAGCACCCGTGCGAAGCCGGGTCGTCGCTAGTATAATTATATTTAAGAATATTTGCATAGACGTAACACTTTTTAAAAATCTATCGAAATAAAATCTCGAGGAACCCATACAAATTGCTATTCTATAGAAAATTACTTTTTTTCTGTAAGGACGAAATATTTCTACTGTCTTAGTTAAGTTTTGGCGCTGTAATATAATTAACATGTTTCTTAATTCCTCGAATTATTATCGATATATAGATATTTTTAGCCGATATATTTGGATCAAAAACGATATTCTTTCAAATTCGAATCCGGCACAGAGTAGAAATTTATCGTATCTATCTGACTGTAACATCGATATATCGTAGCATACTTTCGATATTTTTGTAAATATCGATATATTTCTTTTCTCTCCACATCCCTAACTGCGCCGCGGAGTCACCTAATTGAGCCGGCCACCTTTGGTTTCCAGGTCCCCTGTCCTCGATTCTCTCGGTCAAGTGGTCGTACAGGACGGTGACCCTCATAGGCGGCTCTTTCGCCGCCTTCGGTATGATCTTCAGCAGTTGGGCGTTCTCCATCAGCTATCTGTACTTCAGGTAAGCGAGGAGTCGGCGAAGAATTGTGTCCATCGCACCAGTATAAGAATGTGTTAAAAAAAATACAAAAAGTTTTTCGCCGCTGTGGGAATCGAACCCACGTCTACTGGATTCGCGCCTAGACGCTTTAACCACTAAGCTGAAAGGCTGACTGCCACGCCGACGAAAAGCATACACACTTTTAAAAAAAAATGTTTAATCTTAAATGCTGAGATTAGCCCTATAAAAATTTAAAAGATCTGGAATTGTTAATAGTGTACTACTGGACCACACACTTAGTTTCGACGACCCGATTGGCGCAGTGGACAGTGGGCCTGTCTCCTGCGCCAGATGGTGTCGATTCGATCCCCACTTCCGGAAAAATTTTGTGTGATGAACAGTCTTTTTAATTTAAAAAAAAGTATGTTCAGGTATGTTTACGAGTTACCTAATACCAATAGTACAAGCTTCTTAGCGTTTCTTAGTTTGGATAAAGTTTTGTTTTTTTTTTTTATGTGAGAAAGTGGAAAACGAGCTGGTGGTTCACCTAATGTTAAGTGATAACCACCGTCCTTTGAAATTAGCAACACCCGTAGGGTAGCAGAGCGTCGCCACCTTTTAAGAAAGTGGGCCCCGGCTACCTCACTCACCTGACGAAACGCAGCAGTATAATATTACCACTCCACGCCGGTCTTCTGTGAGGTCGTGGTAATTACCCAGACGGACCTGCGCATTCGTGCAACAGAGAAGGCCGTTGCGTGGCCCCAAAACAGTCGCAAAGTAAAAATTTTTTCAGAAAATTTTCATACAGCCCGGCTTAGTTGTGGCTCTTTACCTCGTTTCCCTTGAAACTTCGCAATAATGAAAAAGTATTTCGCGAACAAACATGAAGTCAATCCATCGGCTTGAGTTCGGCTTCGAGTCTGGTGGACATGGACAGAAACATACGGAAGCCACGTGTGTACAGGTGTAGGCCAATCGGGTTGTATAACTTCATAAAAAACATACAGAAGCCACGTGTGTACATGTATAGGCTAATAGGGTCTTATAACTTAAAAAAAAAACACGTGGAAGCCACGTGTGTACATGTACAGGCCCATCGGGTCGTATAATTTCAAAAAACAAACAAACTGATGGCACATGTGTACATGTACGTGCCAATCGGGTCGTATAACTTGAACAAACAACACCCACTGAAGCCGCGTGTGTACACGCACAGTTTCGGCGCTATGGTGGGCACCGGCGCCGGGCTGGCGTTCCCGCCCACCGTGTACATAGTGACGTCGTACTTCGTGCGGCTTAGGGGCCTCGCGAACGGCATCTGCATGTCGGGCTCCGCTTTCGGGAGCATCATCCTGCCGCCGGTGCTGCGATACCTGCTCGAGACGTACGGCTACAAGTGAGTGTCGCCTCCTCCGACGCAGGCGACTTCAGAAAAAAAAAAACGGGGTTTTTGAGTTCACTAAAATCGCAAAAAAAAGAAAGCTGGCTACGGGTGAGGGGTGGAGTCCTCGAATCGATGAAAACGCGATGTTATGGGGGGGGGGGGGGGGGGGGGGGGGGGGGGTTCTTGAAACGACTTCAAATTGTAGCTGTGCGTTGTCGATTTGATTGTACATCGCAGTCCGTCACAAAGAGCTACAGTGACAAGCCTATATTGAATACGAATACTTCAACAGTATTATCTACCATTGTAACTGTTTACGGTTTGATTTGCAGGGGTGCGGTTTTAATACTGGGCGGTATAATGCTGAACGTTTGGGCCGCGGCACTGCTGTTCCAGCCCGTGGAGGAGCATATGGTGAGGAAGTACAAGGAGCCAGAGGAGGAGGAGGACGCGCCGCAGGTACGTACGCGTTGCCGCTTTGACGCGGGTTCTTCGGCGGCTTTGTCGCGGGCTGTTGCCGCTTTGTGCGGGGTTGTTGCGCCCAATCGGCACCGTCGCGACTTTGTTGCGGGTTCTTCGGCACTTCGCGTGTGTTGCAAGGTACACGGTTTACGCGTCTGTTGTGCATATTTACGTTTTTTTCCGTTACTCATGCGGGCTTCATATCATCATTATCGAATTTACAGGGAACATTGGTTTAAACTCTCCTCACAAGTCCCGGTAAAATGAAAACGGTAAAGGTGCACAGTATATAAAAACGTATGTATAATATATTCAATACCGTGTTTGTGGTGATAATGAAGGGACTTTCATTGCTAAGGTTTTAATCCCCTAGTCTACGTCACAACCCACGATCAGATTGAATGGTCGAGTCGAGCCCTAGACAAGTTCTAAGTTACTAGCTTCGACGCCGGGGCTCGATTCCCACACGAGAAGGGGTATTTGTGGGGTATTGTGCCAAGGAGGGTTGACGTTAGGAGGGCCGGTCGTTGAAAATCTGAGCTAAAATCACTAACAAGATGAATAATATATTGTGCCGACCCCACTAAGGTCAGGACAAAAAAAAATATTTTGTAAGTCTCGCCTTACTAGAATAATTCTTAAATAAATGGGAGCCGAAAATGTAGGATTGCACCTTCGTATATGGAAGAAAGTCTTTTTTCTTTATTTTTTTTCCCACTGTTTTTATAATACGAACATTATATTGACAATTATTTTTTATAAAAAATTCGAATTTTAAGGGACGATTCTTTTATTTTTATTTTTTATGAACACTACTCTATGCATTGATAAGACACTATTCTCAGTGTCTACTACAAGTGGCATACAGAAGTTCAACGATTGTTCTGGACTTACGGTTACGAGGGTTCGCGGGTGACATTTATTTAAAAGAAAAACAGTGTGAATAAGTGTTATTTTTTTTTGAAAATGAAACGTGTTCCATCAACACTCTGGCTCATTTCGGTGACGTCACACACAAAGTAAGCCACCCATTTTATCTGTTACCACCTTATGATCTATTTTTGTTTGCTTGTTTATAATCTGTGGTGTTTAACCTTTTTTTTCGCGCGCTCTGTGTTGTTTTTGTTGCCTTTAACGTTTTTTTTCATTTTCTATGGCATGTGGCATGGATTCGATGGTATGTTGGTAGAATTTTTTTACCCACCATTTGATTTTTTTTTAATAAACGAGACAAGGAATAAATTCTCAATTTCTGATTCTCTGAATTTTAGTTAATATAATCATTAATTTATTATTTTAAGAAATACTTCTCTATGTTCCCTAACATCTTCAAAGAAATATTTTTTTCTTCTTTTCTCTACCAAAACAAAAAATATTCTTTTTATAATACCTAGTTATTGTGTGAGGATTAATTGGGTTTGTGTTGATATTTTTTCCAATTAACAATGATACAAAATTTTTATTTCTTGACTGGTTGTCGAAAACAAATACATGCATGTACATCTTATTTTAGCAAAATTTACATTTTGGCCATAACTGCATGCTAATATAGCCTAACAAACCACCGCTTTATAGCACTTTTGTTATCTGTAGCACGCTGTCCCTCAAATAATCACTTTCCTTAGTACACCGAACGTCACTGAACGAGCGAACTGTTTCATTTTCAAAAAGAAATATATCGAAAAAATAACGAATAACGGTCAACGCGTTATAACGAAAGTGATTATGTCGACGCAGTGCTACGTCACTATGCAAAGAGTTATCGGCTGTAGTTTTGGTTAACCGTCTTCCCGCGTTAGGAATCTTCCAAATCTATGGCTTAATACAACTTTATTGTAATTAAATTAGATGGATATTTACAAATAGCTTTTGGCTATTACTAATGGAATATGGTTTACATGTAAAATGTAGAATTCTCTTTAGTGTATATACATTTTTTTATAAATAATCTATATTGCTTCGATGTAGTTATACATTTTTTAAATAGAATGCGACGGCGCTATTATTTAACAGTATCACGTACCTTAACCCTTAAGTATTTTACAGTCTTTTATAGCCCTATAGGAATTATTAATAAATTTATTACGCGACGTTATAGTAAAGGAGATCTGAGTTTTGATGACGTATAGTGGTCAAAAAGGTCGAAATATTTAAAGTGACTAGAATTTAGTTTACTACGTCTCCTTGTCAGATATCATAAAAATATAGTTCTGTTAGATGATTCAAGCCTCGGTGCTGTTTGTGTCCATGATTTTCGCTTTAGCGAAATCTACCTCACTTCCACAGGAAATATTTGTAGTGGGAGCCGTTTTTATAAAAAAAAAATTATATTAAACTTCAAGGGCTTGAGTTCTATGCGATTTTTCGTATATTTCCAGGGATGGATAAGCTCTGTATTTAGTTTTTTGTTTATTTTAGCCCGTCTATTTAGTCTGTACAGAAAATCATCTAGCTATATTTCTCCACCCTGTTAGTTTTGAAGGACCTCTCTCGCCCTCGAAGACTTGGTATTGTTTGAGAATCACCTGTTTCGATGTTCGATAAACCATTGCCTGTATTTTTTTCAATCGAGAAAAACACGTTATGGGTACCGTTTTCACATGGGCGTCCAGTATGTTTCTTATTATTTTTTGTTTCATTTTCGGTTCTAAGTTAGGGTATTTGTGTACTATGCAACATTGTAAAGGTTATGAGTTGTTATAAATTTACTCGTATAGTTAGTAAGTAGTAATAGCTAGATATCCTATGGAGAGAGATATGGGTGACTTTAATGCAATGTAGCCTTTTTCCGATGATGCATGATAGTTATAGTTCTTTTATTTTTAACGAAGACCTTTGGTTGTTATTATTGTGTTCATAGTTTTAGTGTGAGCAGGCTACTTTTAACACAGGCATATACACATGAACACACACAAATACACACGAACACACGCGAACAATTACACCTATCTGAACGTATAACTACTACAACTTAAGGTCTTCGTGAAAAACAATGTGTATTAAACGTCGTCTAAACTGCCCCGTGAACGTTCAAAAATGTTTGCCAAATTCTAGTGGCTCCGTCAAACATACTTGACAAACACGGTTTCGAACTGCCTAAAATCTGCCTAACATTCCGACCGTTCAAGCGACTCCATACCTTATCGCTAATATATTGACCGCGCATTTCCCTCGCAGAGCACACCATCTGGCGAACATTCCGAGCGTTCAAGCGACTCGATACCTTATCGGCAATGCATTAAGAGCGCGTTTCCCTCGCAGGACACCCTCTTCGAGGAGGAGGAGCCGGTCGCCGTGTACGAGCTGACCGACGCCGGCAAGGCGAACGGCGAGCCGCCCCCGCACCTCCGCCAGCCGAAACGCAAGCTCTCGTACAGCCGGCCGATATCGAAGGCGAACTACAGCTCCGCGTCGATAGCCGACTCAGACAGAAGGCTGGGCTCCCAAGACCTGTTCGGGCGGAGGCTGAGCGTCGCCCCCCCCAAAAGGAACCCCTCCACCTCGAGCTTCGCCTACGTCTCGACGCCATTCCACGGCTCGACGCTGTCCGCGTTCGAGCGGCCGAACGAGTTCGCTTCGCAGTTCTCGCTTAAATCGATCGGGGAGGGCGTGGCGGACGTGGCCTACTGCTGCCTCTGCTGCAAGCGCACCGCCAAGGAGCCGAGCAAGTTCTTCGACGTCACCCTCCTGACGGATCCGACGTACCTCGTGATACTGCTGTCCAGCAGCACCGTCGCCATATCGTGCACCAACTTCATAATACTGCTGCCGTCGTACGCGCAGAACGTCGGCTTCGACAAGGCGCGGGGCGCGCTGCTGCTGAGCACGGTGTCCGCGCTGGACCTGGTCGGCCGCATCGGCGGCTCGGCGCTCTGCGACCTGAACGTGATGCCGAAGAGCTTCTACTTCGTCGGCGGGCTGCTCTTCTCGGGCGTGACCCTCGCCGCCATCCCGTTCCTCGAGAGCTACGCCAGCATCAGCGTGTTCTGCGCGCTGTTCGGGCTGGCCTCCGGCGTCAACAACAGCGTGACGACCCTCGTGATGGCCGAGATCCTGGGGGTGGACCGGCTGATGTCCACGTACGGGATCAGCCTGTTCGTGAACGGGATCCTGCAGCTGATCGGGCCGCCGATATGCGGCCTCTGGTTCGAGCGCGACCGCAACTTCGTGAACATGTTCCTCACCTTCGGGTTCGTCTTCATAGCGGGCTCCTCGCTGTGGCTCTTCATGCCGATCATAGACAGGCACAAGAAGAAGAAGGCGCTCGCCCAAGACGGAATGCACACGCAGAAGGTCTAGCGGCGGACGCGCCGTATTTCACTCCGACCCGTGGCAGCTAAAAAAAAAAATTTTTTTTAAACGTTCCGTGCTGTAAGGACGTAAATTTCAAGCGGTCAAACGCCCAGATCGGAAACAACTATCTGCTGGAACTGTCTCGAGTGGGAATCGAACCGACGACCCCCGACGCCGAAGCCAATGACGTGGGCAACTGAGCCGCGGAGTCAACAAAATGTTGAGTTACTAGGTTGAACCGAAAGTTGAATGTAAAGTTATCACAGACTAACGTCGTATTAAATTGAGCCGTGTTGGTCGGTGCCCCTTTTGTGATGACGCTATCGACGACTTCGGTATTGGTCGGTCTGTCAAAATTTGGTCATTGAATGTTTTCGCGCGCTTTTTCAATTACATCATACATTAATTTATCAATCGTTCGAAAATCGCTGTAAGCATTTTTTAATAACATCTAAATTGTTATTATAGTTGTCGTCGTCACAAAAGAAACAAAAATCTTGCCTTATCCGAATTTGTCACGCGATATTGAAAAAAAATTATTAAGATTGATAAATTATTTTTTTGAAGCTTGCACGTGCCAAGTTTTTTTTTTATTTAAGTTGTGTATTCCTTCTAATTATATTCGTAGAACTATGAAAGAACGAGTGATACTTTGTCATGGAGTTTGGGCGCATACATTTCTTTTTCCATTTAAACTCCTGACGTTTTGTATACTCTGCGGCGTTCAAGATTGTGGTTATTTAAAAAATAATATTTTTTACATTTTAACATTTTTTATTTTGTTACTTGATTATATAAAATTTTATTACATTATTATAATAACTTGGATATAAAAAATCGAGCTAAGCGAAGTTACACACTTTGACACTAGGTGGAGCTCAAAGCGTTAACATTACAAACATTTATTTGAAGTGAATATGTTGGGAATAGCACAAAAAGAAGTGTAACTTCTCGTGGGCTATTTTTTTTAATTCTCGATAATCTGGCAGGGTCGGGATTTGTTGTCTTTGCCCACCCCATAAGGGAGTAAGGCGTAACAGCCTGCATGATGTGTTAAAAATGACTTGAGGAATAGGTAATTTTCTATTATTTGTATTCGCACAACGCCGCAAAAAAACGAATTAATCGTAATTTTTCTACTCTCTGTTTTTTTTTTATTTTTACATTTTATTGTTAGTTATTAATAGAGAAATATAGTTACCTTGCGTTCGAGGAATTTACAAGGTGAAATTTTTACTTTTAAGGGTTTAAGACGGACGAAAATGGCAGTTGTTTATATGTTCGGGTAGTGAAATAATTGACGGACGCTCTAGCTAATAATTTTCAAAGCTAAATGAAGATTTTGCCCCAAACCTCCCAAAGAAAATAAGGAATCAGCGACATCTGTTATTTATATTTCATTTTGAAATTTAATTCTGTCCATAATTATGAATCCGTTCGGATAATCGTGATCGGGGAATAATTTTCCAAGCAATAATTGTTTCTTATATCGATTTATTTGCAACAAAAATATTGTGTGTTACATAGTTAAGCTGAAAAGATATATTAGAATGAATGATTTAATATAAGTTTCGTTGACTGCTATCGAACTATGTAATTTTGAATAAAATAAATTGCATATTTAACTGCTGTATAAATTTTGTTATGAATCCTAAACGCGTCAATTAGATTTATTCAAGAATGCGTACTATTCGCGAAAATGTATGAAACAGATATGAAATTAAATAATTGTTTAGTACCAAGATGGAATCAATCGAAATCAACGCATTCCATATAATTTTAATAAGTTTTTATTAATTTTGAAAAGCCTTCTAAATGCCCTTCAATCCACCGCTTTTTTACAGCAAAATCCTTACGAGTCTACACCTAAAATTATTAATCTAAAGATATTTCTTTTCATGGGGATTCCTAACACGTTATCCTGGTGGATGTTTTTTTTTTTATATTTCAACGTTTTTATTCTTACTTGGATATCGTAAAGTTGAAGTTAGAGTGTGGAGTAAAAAGTGGGTATGATAATTAAGTGACGTTTTGATTTTTTTAATTATATTATGTTGACATTTACATTCGAGGAATACAGTCGAGCTACCTGGGTCATAATCGGTGCCGGCACCATAGACAATTTAATCACAATTTCCACGCGTTCAGATGATGGGGAATATCGTAAGAAAAATAAAACAAAAAAAATACTTCGAATCGATGAGGTCGACCGGTGGACTATGACCAAATACCCTCTGTACATTGGAGTTTTGCCCAGCAGTGGGACATGTATCGGCTGTTACTTCACAAGTGGGCCCCCCTTAATTAAATCGGTCTTAAAGTCGTTGAAATGCCGAAAGAACTGAATTATAGAAATCGAATTTATCCCCGCCACCCGTATCCATGTATCGAATGTACACACGTCTTCCATTTTGCGAACTTCGATGTTTTAATTGTATAATCCATACGATCACTTCTTTAAATTATTTAAACGCAATAACTGTCCTTATTATTAGCACTTTACGATTTATTTTTGTTTATTCAAGTTCGACTACCGTTATTCGTATCATGACGACCTGGGTATTATCGAAAACGCCATCTTAACTGTTACGTCGGTTTTTAGACAATTAATTCCTTAGATGTGTATATATATATATACACATATAAATGAATTTTATATACACAATATAAATGAATTTTAATACACACAGAGCACATACGTTAATTAATGTATTTGAGGCAAATATTATAGTTATAAATGTATTATGAAAGTTTTAGTATGGCAATTGTTCAACTCTATTTTTTATTTTCGCACAAGACAAATTGTTACTTAATTATAAAATGCTATTATATAATTATGTGATGTACTATAGGATAATTATTTGTTTCCATTGTCTAATAAAAATGTATTTTGTCTTTGAATTTTATTCGTTTCATTTGTTTCGTATCGATGCCTCTAAGAAAAGTTTAAGTTTCAAATAATACTTTCGCCATTTAGATAAGCGATCATTCCTAGATGAGACTTATTAATAAAAAGGGTTGCTTATGTTTTTCTTGAACGGGCACAACTTCAAGACGTACTTTAGAGTCTAAATTCGCTTAATTCCTTAATCTTGAATATTTATTAGGAAACAAAATAATGACTTTTTAATTGATAGATATGATAGGGCCATAGTCCGACACGCTGTCGATTTCTAAGTTTAAGACAATAAGTGAGTATAAGTAATAATAATCATAAGAGTTCTGTACGTCAGTAAAGTGTTTGGAATTTTGACTGCTGGTCGAATATTATGAAAGTACAGGCGAAATTTGAAATTCTTAAAAGCGTCCCTAAATTCCTTGTGTAGCTCTGATTTGGAAGATGTGAAACTTCCTTAATTTCATCACCTATCGAACGAATTTAGCTTTTAGACAACACTAGCGATCCACCCCGGCTTTTCATGGGTAGCACTAATTTTGCAAAAAAGAAATTTGTTGATCCGCTCGCTACCAAATTTCACAGGATCACCTGCTGGGTTAATCTGAATATTGCTTGGTAATAAGCAAGCTGGCGGTTCACCTGATGTTAAGTGATAATCGCCGCGCGTTGACATTTGCAATAGCCGTACGGTTGCAGATGCGTTGCCACCTTTCAATAAATTGGGCCCCGGCTACCTTGCCCACCAGATGAAATGCAGAACTATCACACTTTCACGGTGGTAGGGGCACGCAGCAGCCTCGGCTGTTGCACGAATGGGCAGGCTCGTCCGGGTAAGTACCACGAACTCACAGAAGGCCAGCGTAAATTGGAGGTATAATACTTTCGCGTTTCGTCTGGTGAGTGAGGTGGCCGGAGCCCAATTTTCAAAAGGTTGTCAACGCACCTGCGACCCTCGGGTGTAGCAGATGTCCATGGGCGGCGGTATTTACTTAACATCAGGTGAACTGTCTGCTCGCTTGGCAACTTTTCACATAAAAGAAAAAAAACTGTCTGTCTGTCCCTATTTATGCTTCGATCTTTAAAACTACGCAACGGATCTTGATGCGTTTTTTTTACTAGATAGAGTGATTCAAGGGGAAGGTTTATATGTATAAAACATTGCACCCGTGCGAAGCCGTGACGGGTCGCTGGTATTAAATAAATATTATAAATAAAATAAACGTAATATAGAAATATATGAATGGATGGATATTTGTTACTCTTTCACGCAAAAACTACTGAATAGATTTTAATGAAACTTTACAATAATATAGCTTATACATCATAATATAATTTATAAAGATATTTCATGAATTGTCCAAAATATAGCTAATGATAAGTGCCAACTAAGTAGGAAAAAATTCAGCCATCTGCAAGGTATTCTGGTGTATAACAAAAACTCATTGTTAATTCCCTTTGGCCGCGCGGGCGAAGCCGTGGTTAAGAGCTAGTATATAATACGTAAATAAGTAGGACCCAACCAGACGGAAGACGAACATTATATCAAGTCGTCCGACGCTCTTTGCAGCTGGAGCCATTCGCCGAGGAGGACCCCAACGACCTGGAGTCGAGCCACCCCAGGCTTGTATTTACTCCGGACGAGGCGGCCGAAGCCACCGAGCGGTGCGCCAACGGATCGCCGCCCATCTTCAAGCACCGCTCCAACGCAGCGCTGGACGAGCGCTCGCCCCGGAAGGAGTTCGCCCGCTCGGCGAGCGCCGCCTTGGTGGCGCGGACGTCCGACGAGAGCAGGGCGCGGAGGACGTCCGCCACTTCCAGGCACGCCATCCCCCACATCCCCAGCAAGGTCTCCAACCACCTGCCGAGCAACCCCTCGCTGTTGGGCTCCGTGCCGGAGGGCAGATCCTCGCAGGACGCCTTCGGCAGGAAGCTCGCCGCGCCCAAAGCGCCGAAGCGCAGCCCCTCCGCCTCCAGCTTCCAGTACATGTCGACGCCCTTCCACGGCTCCACCTTGTCGGCGTTCGAGCAGCCGAGCGAGTTCGCCTCGCAGTTCAGCCTGAAGTCCGTCACGGACAGCCTCGCGCCGATATCGTACTGCTGCGGCTGCAGACGCCGCCCGAAGGAGGCCGGGCCGAAGGAGCCCAGCAAGTACTTCGACGTGCAGCTGCTCAAGGACCCGATCTACCTGGTTATCCTCATATCGAACTGCACGTGCGCTATATCGTACACGAACTTCATAATCCTCGTGCCGTCGTACGCGCTCGAGTGCGGCTTCGACAAGTCGCTGGGCGCTTACCTTCTGTCCATCATATCGGCGCTGGACCTGGTCGGCCGCATCGGCGGCTCGGCCATATCGGACGTGGTCTCCACGCCGAAGCGGTACTTCTTCATAAGCGGCCTCCTCGTGTCCGGCGTGAGCCTCGCCATGCTCCCTCTGGTGTCGAGCTACTCTGCGCTGAGCGCGCTCTGCTCGGTGTTCGGCATCGCGTCCGGGATAAACGTGGGCGTGACGGCGCTCGTGATGACCGAGATGCTGGGCACCGAGCGGCTGATGTCCTCGTACGGGATCAGCCTGTTCGTGAACGGGATACTGCAGCTGATCGGGCCGCCCGTCTGCGGGCTGTGGTTCGAGCGAACGCACTCCTACAAGTCGCTGTTCGTCACCCTGGGGCTGATACTGTGCAGCGGCGCCGCTCTGTGGGGCTTCGTCCCGCTCATCCACAGCAGGCGACGGAGGGCGGAGGGGCTCAAGCAGAGCCTCGACGCCAAAGCGTAGTCTCAGCGTCGACTAGTCGTTGCAGAATCGCGCCCGTGAACGATTGCGACGCGGCGCGCGCTCTCCAACCGAAACCATCGGGTCCACTCGCGTATTCTAAGATTTTTTTTTTTTTACTTTTACCAGTTCAGATTGTATTTGTTGTATGCGTACACGATAAGAGTGTGGAGGTGAGGAGATCCGTCCCGAAAGCGGGAATAGTTGAAAGTGTCCAACCGTAAGCAGTGAAAACAGCTCAAAAACTCTCCACAACAGCGCTAGAGTAGTTAGTGGGTATGAAATGAACTCTGCAGTTGTCGACGGAGTGTAGTGTGCAGAGTTGAGGAGTTTAATATTTGTGGTGACTGGAGTAGTTGATGAAACTGCAGTATTTAAAATCTTAACTTAATACAACATACCACTTAAATCACCACTACTGCCTAGTTCCCATTGGCTACAGTAGCTCTACCAATTTAACGGCTCTCCACGGGCGTTTTACAAACAAATATTGTTTTCCTTACCTCTATCCTCCATGCCTGTAGTTCTTACTAACATATACGATTATCCTTAGTCTAAATATTTTGCTGATATATTAGGATGTAAAATGTAATTTTAAATATAACTTTCTCAACGAATTAAGCAATCGTGTAGTAGGAAGGGTGACATGAGTTGAGATGGATGGCTTCATGTACCAGCTTTTAGGGTTAGGTCGGTGTCGGTATGTTATAGGCGAACTTTGCATTAGAGTTGACAAGTTCGAACTTAGATATTAGTAGCGACATGTTTCCAACGGTTCAACCGTAATAAGACAATTTGCCAAATTCATTGAAATTTATTTCGTCGTATTAATTGTCCTACTTCGCTGTTTTTTTTTAAAACAAAACAATATATCTCCCAATCATGTTAAAACTTGCTCTTCCATGCGATTGCATTCGCAAGAAACGTTTCTGCTTCGCTCCCGTATGTCGTAGCGTCATGTTAAGTATCCTATAACCTTTCTTAAGATTTGGGCTATCAAATGCAAAAAGATTTTTTCGAAATAGTAGCTCCAGACATTTGCGCGTTCAAACAAACAAACTCTTCAGCTTTATTATAAAAAGTACCGATAGATGGTTGTACGCGTAGACCTAATATGAATATTATTCGGTGCTAATTTTTTTATGTTAGCTCGGATAATTAAAAAAGCGTGTTTGACTATAAACAAACAAATCTCAATGAAATCGAATTTATATTAATTTTTTTTAAAGCGGCACGTATATAATATTCTTATATTAAGGACCATTTAAAATCTCGCTTCTTATTGCCTAACTTTATTAATGTAGTTACCATATATCAGTCCAGTAACCAGTTATTTAGGTAATAAACCAATATATATTTTGGTAGTATAACCACCCGCATCGCTTAAATTTTAGCACAATTATTGATTCGTTATTTATTTGTAACAATTATACACTTTAAATTAAGCTCTTTATTCTTTTAAAGTAACTATGTTTATATATGTATTAATGTAAGAGTGTATGTATTTATTTTATACTATGAATATGTAATGTTCAATCCAAGATACTTATTACTATATAATGTATTAAACATGCATATTTCTGCAACTGTCCACAAGGCGTTGGTTTATACACAAGACTCGATATCAGAAACAGTCTTAAAACATTTCCACAGATTAAATATTATGAAAAAACTATTATTAAATCAGTAAGTTTATTCTGTTCACCTCGGAAAAATCTAAAAGAATTATGCAATGACTTAGGGTTCTTTAGCAATAAATCTTACATGCCTAGATCGTACGTTTTCTACACTTCAAACTAAGTAATTTGTCGATATACTTATGTACTTATACGCATTGCAGTCAATTATAAACTGACATGTGACATGTGTCTTGCCTTAATAATAACTTTAAAGTGTTTCCTAAATATAAATTTTATCTATAGAACGAGAGAGCATAAGAAAGTGTTTTGAAATCATGTACCATTTTTACCTATTACAAATGAAGTTTAAAACTCTAAATATTTCTTTTATAATGATTCCGCAGTTGCCTGCTAAAATTGTGTATAGTTAAATGGATACAGCGTCGACTGTCGTTGTTTTAAAACACTTTCATTATATTGTTGACAGAAAATGTACTAAGCTTTCGTATACATATATACAAAATCATAAATTAGGCCATTTTATTCGTGAATGTACTTCTTAGAGATTTATAGACTTCCAAATGTGATATAGCTTGAAATCTACGAGTAATTTTACAGTTGACATTTTCTGTTTTTCTATCTTTTATATTATAGTAACATCCATGTCGTTGTGTATTTCGGGACGTCATCATGTTTTTACAATTTATCCGTTCGAGCATTTAGCTCGAGATTTTCCCGCATAAAATGTTTTCAATATTTTTGTATACCGTACTTTTATATCTTTTTGACATATTGATGCTAAATTGAAAATAACGGCTTTGATGTTACAGCGAGACAATGTAGATACCGTGACATTTTTACATTTATATAATATCTTCATGTTTGTAATGTACTATGTCATATGTAAAATTAAATATTTTCATTCAATCTGGCTTCCTTCATTGCAAAAACCCCTTTCGCTGCGTTTGTTCCAGAACAGAACTGGACCATTTCTCAAATTATTAACAGCCTGCTTCTACAATAATAATGCCCGGTTTCTGAAACACAGATCATCGTAGATGTCAACTAATCAGCCGTTAAATGGCATTTCATTTTAGTTGCCAAAAGGACGGTTAAACTCTCTGAATTGACCAGAATGATCTTCTAATGATCAGAACGATCAATCCAAAGAGTTTAATCATCCTTTTGGCAACTAAAATGAAATTTGAAAACCATTTGATAGCTGATTAGTTGACATCTACGATGATCAGTGTTTCAGAAACCGACCGTAAGTCTGGTAATACTGTAGACATCATGGGTGACTGTAAATAGTTATCCTTACTAATATTATATGTTTTGTATATACGTCATAACCTTAATTATTACCTAAAGAATAGTGACAGACATAAAATAAACACTAGAAATAAGGACAAACTTACTTTAAGAGTTACTACGCCATTGTTTCGTCTACAAAAAGTAAATAGGTCGTTCATGGGGCAAAGTGTGCGCATGTATAATAAAATCCCACAGTCGATATTAAGCCTGCCGCTTGACTAATTTAAATGTAAAATTACAAATCAACTAATGATTAAAGCATATTATACCATTTCGGAATATCTTGACGACGCCAATGTCTGGAGTTAATACTGTTGATACTCACGTAGGCTAGAATGAGACTATTATATCTGTATATTATATTGTACCCTGGTATTTTTGAAAAGAGCAACTGTTGAGTTTCTTGCCGGTCTCTTCTTAACAGAAACTGCTTTCCGAACCGGTGGTACCTTACGAACCTATATACATAATCTTTGATGTGTAATTTGGCGATTCATAAGAGCGCGCAAGCGTCTATTTGAATAAATATATTTTTGATTTTGATTATAAAGACGAAAGTTTGTATGTATGGATGGATGTTTGTTACTCTTTCACACTAATACTACTGAATGGATTTTAATGAAACTACAATAATATAGCTAATACATAGGCTATAATTCATAAAGATTATTTGAATTATCCAAAATATAGCAATAAGTGTTAAGTAAGTAGGAAAAATTCTGCCATCTGCGAGCTATTCTGGTGTATAATAAAAACTCATTGTTAACCCTTCGCCCGACCGAAGCCGCGTTTAACAGCTAGTGTAAAATAAATGTTTTGAATGAATAACAATCGAAGAAAATATAAGAAAACAAGGGAACATTTTGGGAACGTTTATTTACGAATAAAGTTGATCACAAAGTCTCCTAAAGATATGTCTAAAGGTTACATATAAACTTAAAACATGTCTTAGTATGACGACAAATCGCCTTACATAAAAATATAATCACATTTAAAATAAAACAAAATGGTAGAAGTCGAATAATACAAAACGAATAAACAAGATAATATTATTTTCGTAAAAAGTTGAAACATGTATTAGAAATTGTATAATTATCGACTATTCACTGGGATAAAATCTATTTAAGTTTGTATATTTTTTTTGTAATAAGTGGAGGTGGTAAGACAGCACCTGATCCACTCTTATTGCTAGTGGACCATAGACAATTGTCAATAACGAATCATGTCAGCCAATTTTGTTGATATCACGATTTTTGTTGCACGAATGGGCAGGCCCGTCCGGGTACTTGCCACGACCTCACAGAAGACCAACGTAAAGTGGAAGTATGACAAATACTTTCGCGTTTCGTCTGGTGAGTGAGGTAGCCGGAGCCCAATTTCCAAAAAGTTTGTCAACGCATCTGCAACCCTCGGGTGTAGCAGATGTCCATGGGCGGCGGTATTCACTTAACATCGGGTGACCTGTCTGCTCGTTTGGCAATTTTTCGCATAAAAAAAAATCTATGGTATGTTTTAGTAACAACGATATTTGGATTCGCGGTTAATGTCATGTTCGGCATCATACGCGTAATTTGCCGAATATGGCATAAACGACGAAATTTATAAGTTGATGCCAAGGCTGTATGTAGAAATCACATGCGGTTAAACTATTATAATAACAATAACAATAAATAATGTTAGTTTTTGGTCAGGATGTTTCTAATAGTATGCTGCCATCGCGTATTACCTCGAATCATTCATTAAATATTTCGCTACCAAATTATAACGTGAGGTTACCTGAATCTCATTTTTAATCCTTAACATTAACAAGCAATGGGAAAGAATCTTGGAAAATGTGAGGGACCCATTTGTAGCTTTCTTAATATATGCTCTATCCTTAAAAGCGGCAACGAATTTGTAGGCCCTCGGATGTTGCAGGCGTTTATGGGCGGCGGTAATCGCTTACCATCAGTTGAGCCTCCTGCTCATTTGCCCCTTTTCTCCATAAAAAAAAAAAAATGTTCAACTGATCGCACTTTGCGTTAAATTAAATCTTGAAAATTCCAACCAAAGAAATTTTATAAGCGT